CCTTTTCCTTGACCTTTGGGCAGTCTCTCTTCCAATGTCCTTGCTCCTTGCAGAATGCACATTGGTTCTTTCTAAGCTGGTGATGACCTCTTGAATTTAACCTCCCTCTATTTCCACCTTTCTGATATGAGCTTCTACCTCTCGTCGATAAGGTCTCTCCTGAAGTACTAGCGCGGGAAGTCTCCTTATCCTTCCTCCTCAAATCGTAGTTCGTCAATGCGTTAGTCACTTCACTATAAGTGATAGAAGATCTCTCGTTCAGCAAAGAAAGCACGAAGGTATCATACTCCTCATCCGGTAAGGAGCCCAAAAGAATAATAGCATTGTACTCATTCGTGATCTTCTCATCCACGTTCGCCAAGTCCGACAACAACTTAGTGTAGTTGTTCACATGAGCCGCAAGCGAGGTGCCTCGGGACATCTGGAATCTGAATAACCTACGCAGCAAATGCAACATGTTCTCAACACTCTTCGTAAGATACTTATTGTTGAGAATTTCCCACATCTTCATCGCAGACGTCACCCCAATCACATCATATTTCAGCTCCTGTTCCAAACAGGACATAATCACCCTACAAGCGTTCCTATTCATCTTTTCCCATACCGCCTCTTTATATTTAGGTGGCCTCACATCGACCATGATGGTCTCCTCCAAATTTTGAGCATTGAGCGCATCATGTACGTCGCTCATCCACAAACCAAAATTGATTTTGCCGTCATATTTCACTACACTAATCTTAGTGTTCTGAAAACCCACTTGAACTGTGCCTGTCATCTTGCTGCTTTCACCAATTACTTCACCCATAATCACAACTTCCAAATTGTAGAGAAAGATCCAAACTTTGAAAAGAATAAGAAATTAAAGCGAGATCTTCAACGGTAACTTCAAACCCTAACTCCACCAAAGCCTAGAACTCTAAGAACCAAGCTTCCAACTGAATCTTCCTCCACCTAATTCAAAACCCTAGATCTAAAATCTGAGCTCTGATACCACTTGTCGCGCGCCGTGCGGAAGCGTGCTCGACAACCAAACGAGTCGGTGAGCGATGAGAGAAGAAAACCAAAACTAAACACGAGTGCAATTCATAAAATAACAACCAAAATCACACACAAACACAGGAATTTATATGGTTCGGCAATTGCCTACGTCCACGGGGAGAGGATGGAGAGATTTTACTATATGGAGGAGAAATACAACGGGTTACAACTCACAAAATCACTCAAATATAACCATAACTAAAGCTCTCAACTCTCTCACAATATCTCTCAAATATAACCCTAACTAAAGCTCTCAACTCTCTCACAATATCTCCCTCTCAAAGTGCTCAAAACAATGCTAATTCTCTTTTTTTCTCTCCTTAAGAAACCCTAAAAAATGTGGTTCTATTTATAATAAAACACAATCCCAAATAGATTAGGATTCTAAAAATGAGTCTGCCACACCATGGTGTGACACACACCACACCCATGACAAACAGGGCAGATTCTGCCATAGCAGGGTGTGGCAGACACCACACCCATGGCAGACAGGACAGATTCTGCCACACCCATGGCAAATACCACACCAGGGTGTGGTGGAGTCTGTTTTGGGTTTTTCTTCATATTTTTCACAATTCCTTCGCCGTTTTCACATTACAAAGTTTATATTTTTGGCAAATAAATTAAAAATGGAATATTCAAAGTGGTATATTTTACCGTTTGAATTGAATCTTTCTCAAGCTTATTTTATACTCTCAATCAATTATGCCTTTTCTCAAAATAAAAGAAATCTTTTTAAACCATAGCTTCACTATCTAATAGATTAAATTTTTAGCCAAGTTAATTTATTGTATGTGTTCCTCTCATTTTTTTTAATTTTTGGAGGAAAATACTCCTCTCAGTTAATTTACATAAGTTTGTTAACTGTGAAAACGGCGAAGGAATTGAGGAAGGAATTAAAAAAAAACGTGAATAAGCAAAACAGGCTCCACCACACCCTGGTGTGGTGTCTGCCATGGGTGTGGCAGAATCTGCCCTGTCTGCCATGAGTGTGGTGTCTGCCACACCCTGGTGTGACAGAATCTGCCCTGTTTGTCATGGGTGTGGTGTGTGCCACACTAGGGTGTGGCAGACTCGTTTTTAGAATCCCAATCAGTTTGGGATTGTGTTTTGTTATAAATAGAGACACGTTTTTAGGGTTTCTTTGGCTTTGTTTAGGCTTTGATTAAGCATTGATTGGGGGATATTTGGAGCACAAAAAGAGGTATTTTTTGAGCTTTTGGTTAGGGTTTTGTTTGGAGAGATTAAGAGTTTTGTTGGTGAGATTAGTTTATTTATTCGAGTGATTTGTAATCTTAATTTGTACTCTTCTTCTCTATTAGTGAAAACCCCATCCCCTTCTTGCCCCGTGGACGTAGGCAACTTGCTGAACCACGTTAAAATTGGTGTTTTGTTTGTGCATTGATATTTAGTTCGTTTGGCTCTCTTGGATTAACGTTTAGTTTGGTTACTCGACACAGCTTTTGGCACAACAATTTGGTATCAGAGCTCGGGCTACGCTTGTGCTATTTGGAGGAGTAGATCGATTTGGGAAGCTCGTCTAGGGTTTCAGTTGGTGAGAAACGTAGGATCTTTTTGGTAAAGCTTCTTTCTTTTCTCAGTTTTGGATCTATTCTTCGTTTGTTTCCGTATTGGTTGTTGGTGTGTTGATGATTATGGCCGAGAAAGAGGGAGTTGAGGGTAGTTCTTTGGGTGTGAAGACTGTCCAAAGTTTGAGTATCCACTCGATGAAGTTTGACGTGGAGAAGTTCAATGGCACTAACAATTTTGGACTTTGGCGATGCGAAGTCTTGGATGCGCTCAATGCGCAGAATTTGGAAGATACGTTGGAGTTGGACGGGAAACCGGACGATATTGATGAGAAGGTTTAGAAAAAGATAAATCGGACAGCGTGTGGTATGATTAGGTCTTGTCTCACTCAAGATCATAAATATGATGTGATGAATGAGACTTCTGCGAAGAAGATTTGGGAGGTCCTAGAGAGCAAGTACTTGACGAAGAGCGTTGAAAACCGCTTGCATTTTAAGAGGAGGCTTTATCGCTTCTAATTGAAGAAGGGGATATCCATTAGTGATCACATGAACCACTACACGAAGATTCTTGCAGATTTGGCGAATGTAGAGCTCTGACGACTTCATTGGATTTGGCTAGATTGTGTCGTTGTTTGGTGCTGGGGTATTTGATTAGTGATGTTGTGCATAGGTTGTTAAGGAGTGTTTTGACCTGCAGATGGAAGTCCTTTGAGCACATTGGGATGAGCAAGACCGAGGTGGAGTTTGGCACTCCTATCCATTGAGCGAGGAGTCTTTTAGGAGGTGTTCAGTTAGGCATTTGGGGGCCTTCCAAGGAGGCATCATTAGGAGGTAATCGTTTTGTAGTTTTTGCAGTTGGTGGTTGTTCTAGGTATTATTGGGTCGCGACCAGTTCCCATTGGTGTAAAGTCCTAGAAGTCAACAATAATTAGAAGAAGTGTATTGGCAGAAAGGTAACTCGTTGTTCTAGCTTTGGTAGGGGTCCTTTCTTGCGTTTGTGCCGAGCTCACGGCATTAGGAGACACTTCATTGGTGTGGAGACTTTGGGGCGACAAGATGAGAAGGAGGATTAGTGTTGGTTGTCGAGCATTGGATTGTAGAGGAGTTTTGGAGCTTCGACATATTTAGGTCATCTTAGTCATAGGTTGCCGACTGCTGTGTGTAGAGATTTTGGATCTACTGGAGCTGCTTCAGATTTTGGGTTACATCGGATGTTTAGTTGCCCAGCATTTAGTCACATCAAGGATGCGAGATTTGATCCGATAACACATTTTAGGATTCAGAGGCTCGTTTGGTTATTAGTTGGGAGACTCTGATTTGGTTCTGAGTAGGTATGTCACTTTTGACTCTCGGCAGGTGGAGAGTGTTGATCAGGTCGTTTGGATATCGTAGCAGGTGGAGGGTGATGTTACTTCACGTTGGGTGGAACTTATTCCACATACTCCAGATCATTCTGTGTCATTTGGGATTCCAGCTGATGTGACACAAGTTGGGGATCATTTGATTTCGGATGCAGATGATGGATTGGTTTTGGAGTCGGTTGCAGCTGGTGGACATGATTTGGATACGGCCATTGGTTCACCTCAGATGGAGGTGTTTGATTTGTATCAGTTTGGGGCCACTATCAGTTACAGATCCGTTGGCGATATTAGGGAAGAGTTGCAGACTTTTCTATTTGTTTTAGGGCCTTTGAAGGCCGTTTGGATGAACTACGTGAAGGCTTGATTCCTTGGGCAAGAGGATACGTAGGCAGTCAGTTTTGATGCAGACGATTTGGTGAGTAGATACCGACATTTAGGTGAGTGTTCGCACTCCCGTTTCACTACAAGAAATCTGCTATTTAACGACCAAAATTAGTGAAGGGACCAGTTGCCCGTCATTAATGTGCATATAATAACGACGGGTTTTAAACCCTTCGTCGAGTGATTACAAATAATAGAGAAATATTATGATATGAGATAACGGTTTTCTAATCCCTTCGTTGATTTGATCCTACTACCGTCGTTATTAGGTCTCCTTAAAAATGAAGGGGTGCATTACCTTCATTGATGGGACTCCTAATTATAATTGGACTAAAATTAACCTATTTCTATTAAAAAAAATCCCATAACCAAACATGAAGCCCCAACTAAAACCTGAAGCCGAATTTTACAAACCCACAAATTTCGCCTATATGGACTGATGGACGGGAGGAGAGGGAAATTTCCCCCAATAATTTTCGCGAAAATTAAAAAAAACCAACCAAAATCCCCCAAATTAACCCTCGTTCTCCCTCTCTCTTCAAAAAACCCCAATCCCGTGCTCCTTCTCCCCCAACCCTCTGAACTCCCGCTACCGTCGAGCCCCACCCCTCCATTTACCCTCTTTCCTTGGCTGTCCAGAGAGAGAGAGAGAGGAGAGAGAGAGAGAGAGAGGAGAGAGAGGAGAGAGAGAGAGAGAGAGAGAGAGAGAGAGAGAGGAGCGAAGGCGACGAAGAAGAGAGAGGGAGAACGATGTCAGACGAGGAGCACCACTTCGAGTCGAAGGCCGACGCCGGTGATCATGGGCATGCCCTGCAAGGTATAATTTCTTCCTCGGATTCTCTCTCGATGGGCCTAGGGTTTTCGTTGATGCGCTTGTTGCCGACGCTCTGGATTTAGTTGTGGCCTGACTTTGGATGGATTTTGTAATTTGACCGGAGATTTCTGGTGAGGCTTCCGTTTATTCGAGTTGAGGAGATTTGTACTGCTTGGTAGCCGATTGTCCTTGGTAAGGGAAACAGTTACCATGGATTTGATAATTAGTTCGGTTTTCGTAAAAACATTTTTAGACAGAATCAAATTAATTTTATTTTGAAGGAGAGGTTCTTGCCTTGAATCGAATCAGAAGCCGTAATTTTTTGTTAAGCCATTGTTCGCTGCTCGAAATTACTGCTCTAAAGTACTATTTAACCATAGGCTAAAGGAATCTGTCATATATTATTCTGACTCTTTTTCATTGTTGTAGAGATTTTTGTGGATTTTAGTTTGTTTTCTAATGGTATCTTTGTGTTTAAGACAATGTTTTGTGGTGATAATTTTGAAAATTAATTTGTGTTTTAGAGGATATCGTTTTTATATGGATTTGGAATCTGGGTTGTTTACAGACGGAAGGATAGCTACAAACTAGATTTGTGCTACGGGCAAGAAGAGACTATTGGTGATATTTTCTCCCGCTAGATTAAACATCTCCTTGAGGGAATTCTCAAAGGAGGTAATGGTTGTATAATTGCTTATGGTGCTCAAGGAAGTGGGAAGAAACAATTAGTTCAGGTGACTTCAAGGTCCCTTAAGGTTTTTTTAATCATACAGCTGTTTGTGCTATTATCATTGTTAAGAGAAAATTTCTACTGTTTTTTGATTTAGGGTTCCGAAGAAAACCCAGGTTTGGCACTAATGGTACTCTCGGAGATCCTACCAGGTTTGGCACTAATGTTTACTGAAATGATATGCACTTTAATGAGCCCTACTTCTGAAACTATATCCTTATTCAAGACTTCTCTCTCGAGATCATGTGGCTTGTAAGTGATATTTGTGAGTGGTTAATGTGATTGTATTACTCACATGTTGTCTCACAAACGATGAGTTACTTTATGTAACAAAAGACCTCGTGTTGAATGATTTTTATCTTTATGTAACAAGTATTTTCTGGATTCTCTGTTTTCATCATCTTCTTTTACTTGACCATTTACTGCACTATTTCCCCTCTATCTTCTTACGGGCTCTTTTGTTTCAACAAGGAGAGGGGGAGTGAGAAGTTTTGATCAGTGGATGGTTCATCAATAATACATAAAAGCATGTTTCAACAAGGAGAGGGGGAGTGAGAAGTTTTGATCAGTGGATGGTTCATCAATAATACATAAAAGCATTTTCTATTTCTGTGTTGTTTTAAATTTCAATTGCTCTCCATTACTCATACATGCAGGATCAGATCTATTTTAAAATGTCACGATTCTCCGTTTTTACACTTCTTATGTTCCAGCCAATGCCATCACTACAGACTACACTGAATTAACTAACCAAATCTAGTTAAGATTTGTAAGTACTTACAAACTAATTTGGCCTGAGGACTTAACCCGTGCCAATTTTTGATGCTTAAACCCTCTTTATTAACACTAGAATTCCAAAATTCCAATTTGCTTTGTTACCTATCTCGGAAATTTCAATGTATTCCAACTGAAGTCTTCTAATAATCAGGTGGCTGGACATCTAGCTAACCTGTTTTACATTTTTTTTATACTTTTACTGTCTTTTACTTTAAGTTGTTTTAGATAACCTGTTATGGCATATATCTCAGGCTTTCAGCACTCCATTCACCTTAATATAATCTATATTAAATTTCCTATTTGAAGCATCAAAGTTTTGTGCAGGGAGTTGGTGGCTTTGTTTTTGGAAATGACAATGCTTCAAATGAAGATAGGTAAAATTTCTCATAACCCTAGTAAGACGTGCGATATCTTTCTTACAGAATTTGTGAATGTCATTTTTTCTTAATCATTCCATGTGCTATCTCTAGTTCTGATACCCCCCCACCCACCACCCAAAAAAAACCCAAAAAATGAAAACACTGCATGCTGGACCATGTGCCTTGAATCTCATTTTTTATCATTGCAATGTCTATATGTCTCCTGCATTCCGTGTTCTTGAACTTATATATCTTCTGCTTTGAATGCAAATTTATTTCGCTCAAAGTGCTGACAGAAACACAAAATAACATAAATTGAAATTGCAGCTTATGTAAATCGCAAGGAGGTCTCATATATACCGGTTTCCTTTTTTTGCGACCACTAATTAAGGATTTACAACTGAGCAATTTATTCTTTTGTCCAGTTTTCGCTGAGACAAATGCAAGTAATTAACAAATGAGAAGGGTGTTATAAATGAATAAAATAGAGAAAGTATCTCTTATTCAGCTTGTGTCCGTTGAAATATCTATGGGTAACTCGCGCAATATGACAATAAGAAGTTAAATGCATAGTCCCCTAAGGAATCAACAATGAAAATGGAAAAGAACTTGTGAACAAAGAATTTAGAATATTTAATAAAGTACATTAGAACAATTTTAGTCACTATACCTTTATCAAGAATTCTTAGCTGTGGCAATAGTATAAGAGAAGCATACAAAAAGGAAAAAAGTGTGAATTCTCCAGAGGTTAAGAGAAACAGAACTTGTGAACGAAGATTCAGAATATTTAATAAATATCATTACAATATATAATTTCCCCTCACTCAACCTCCAAGAACTCTCAGCTGTAGAACTATCAGAAGAAAATATTTCTATGTAGAAAATATACTTCCATTGGGTTAGGTCTTTAGGTAATTATCCTTCCAAAAAGAAATCTTTGACTGTCCATTATATCTAAATTCCATACATAACTAGCAATTCTGAACTTCGATTAGTGGTAGTTGCCCAGAGCCTAGAAGAAAACCTTTCTAACGATGTGTATCCTATACGTAACCCTCAGATGTTGTCATGTAAAATGTGTTAGGCTGTTGCATGCATGTATTTCTGAAGTATTTGCATGTGCTGTCTATCAATTTCTTCCTATTCATCCGTAAATTGTCTCCACGAATTGTTTTATCATGTCATTTTCTGTCTGACTTCTGATTTCCCCTTATTTCAACAGCCATGTCGAGCGGTTGCTTGACCATATAATCAATGGTGTTCTAGCTGAGGATAGACGTGCAGCAGTGTCTGAACTGCAGTCACTTGTAGCGAAAAGTCGTTCAGCTCAGCTGGCAGTAGCGGCTATGGGTAGTGCTTCTTCCCTTACCCTTAAAAAGAATGCAGCATTTCATTCCAGGTCAAAGAAGACATGATAGGTGCTTCTTCATCTTGAAACAGGATTTCCAGTACTCATGTCTGTCTTAAAGGAGGAGCGTGATGATGTCGAAATAATTAGAGGTGCCCTTGAAACTCTTGTGAGTGCATTGACTCCTATCAACACAGGTCATGGACAGAAAAATGAAATTCAACCAGCTTAAATAAACTCTGATCTACTTTCTCGAGAATCAGAGAGCATCTCTCTTCTTCTGAGTTTTCTTGTAAGTTTATCCCAATCAATCTTTTATGGATCTCTATGATCGCTGGCAAGTTTTAGGAAGAAGTCATAGTATCTGATTTATCATTGATGTTCTGCCAGTCTGAGGATGATTTCTATGTTAGATACTATACACTTCAGCTTCTTACAGCTCTTCTCACACATTCCCCTAGCATATAATTGTTCATATACAACCTGCAATTTGTTCTCTCTTTTCTCAACTGGTGTTGATTTGTGTCTCCAACAAATGTTAATCATTATTGTTTTCATGTCCTGTGTTTATATATTAGGTTACAAGAAGCGATTCTTTCTATTCCTCGTGGTATTTATGGATATGCTTATGGATCGTGAGGTTTGCATTTGTCTATTTCTTTCTTGTTTAGCTAGTCCGTGAGGTCTTGAGGTATGTAGACTTCCACTGGTTGATGCTATATGATTTGGTATGTTAGTTAGGCATCAGTGTTTTTAATTAAAGACCAGAATGTTCCCATTAGGTTGGTGGAACAATTTAATTAGTTTGAACAAGCTGTTTTAACTAGCTCTGGGGACTCTATAGTTAGATTTTATGTTACCATCCATTCACTATGTTCTTGCTTTATTCATACATAGACCAGATGCAATATAATATTAGGAGTATACATAGAGAATCAATGATTGGACACTGAAAGAGCAGTATTAAGCTTCAAATTCTCACCTTTATATTAGTAATATGGGATATTAAATCAGAACAAAGTGAATGGATGGTAACATAAAACTTGTGATGCTTGTCTAGCAAGTATAAAATGGTCATTCGTTTTTAGCAAGTATAACGTGAATGGAGTATACATGTGCAGGACTAGGTAATTATTTTTTATAAAATCTCTTATATAGTTTTATGATTGACTACTTGCACTTGAGAAAATGAGATTTTTACTTAATAGGATAATAATTTCTTAATTGATATTTCTTAATTATGTGATTTTTTTTAAATTTTTTAGGCTATCCATGCAAGATTAGGAGGGGGTAGCTCGAGTCTTCTTTTGACGATGATTAGAGATGAAAGAATGTGTCTTCCCCAAACTTTTATTTTAATTTGTTTTAGATAGTTTCATGTATTTTTCTTTGGAACAATTAGGATATTAACTCTTGTTATTAGTATTGAATATTTGAGGATGGTGGAATTATTTATTGATGTTATTAATGAATGAAATTTTTATTTTCCCTTTTATTCATTATTGAGTATTTTTAATATATTTGTGTTGTGGATCTTAGTATCAGGTTGAGAATAATATGATAATTGTCTATGAATGAAAAAATTATTATTAATGTATATTAGAAATTTGTAGTCTATACAATGACGATTTTATAAATCGTATTTTGTTCATCAACGAAGTAAAAATACCGTCGTTAATGTGTTACTAATTACCCATTATGAGGACTTTTACGACGGTATCCAACCGTCATTAATTAGTCTTCAACGATGGGAAAATATCCCCGTAACTAATGGCAACAACGGGAAAATATCCCCGTAACTAATGGTAACAACGGGAAAATATCCCGTCACTGATGGTAACGACGGGAAAATATCCCCGTTCCTGATAGTAACGACGGTGATAATTACTGTCGTAAATATTAACGACGGTAATATGTTCCGTCGTTATAGACTCTATAATGACGGTTAGTATATCCCTTCGTGACCCTTTAGCGAAGAGGGTTTCAACGACGGGTGACGAAGGGATTTTTTCCCGTCGTTAGCATACAATAACAAAGGTTTTCAGCTCTTTAACGAAGGGAAATCCCTTCGTTAAAGATGTAATTTCTTGTAGTGTTTGCGTCTCGACTTGTGTGGATGGAGTCTGTTGTCGTGGCGTACTGGATGCAACAAGTGAGGCATTTTTTTTGGTTAGTGTCGACTCGGTTTTGGGAAAACTTCGTCGAGGTGGAGAATTGTGAAAACGGCGAAGGAATTGAGGAAGGAATTGAGAAAAACGTGAAGAATAAGCAAAACAGGCTCCACCACACCCTGGTGTGGTGTCTGCCATGGGTGTGGCAGAATCTGCCCTGTCTGCCATGGGTGTGGTGTCTGCCACACCCTGCAGAATCTGTCCTGTTTACCATGGGTGTGGTGTGTGCCACACTAGGGTGTGGCAGACTCGTTTTTAGAATCCTAATCAGTTTGGGATTGTGTTTTGTTATAAATAGAGACACGTTTTTTAGGGTTTCTTTGGCTTTGTTTAGGCTTTGATTGAGGTTTGATTAAGCATTGATTGGGGGATATTTAGAGCAAAAAAAGAGGTATTTTTTGAGCTTTTGGTTAGGGTTTTGTTTGGAGAGATTAAGAGTTTTGTTGGTGAGATTAGTTTGTTTCTTCGAGTGATTTGTAATCTCAATTTGTACTCTTCTTCTCTATTAGTGAAAACTTCATCCCCTTCTTGCCCCGTGGACGTAGGCAACTTGCCGAACCACGTTAAAATTGGTGTTTTGTTTGTGCATTGATATTTAGTTCGTTTGGCTCTCTTGGATTGGCGTTTGGTTTGGTTACTCGACACAGCTTTTGGCACAACAGTTAACAAACAAAAAGAGTATTTATAATTCTATTACAACATAGCTCTTAATCTTCTGTATTATGATGTACCTTCTCACAACCCGTACATGAGTAAAGTCTTTTTGTATATTTAACCAAGCTTCATTTTATGCTCCTCTCCAATGTATGTAATTTTTTTGACTAATAGAAAAATATTTAGCCTGTTATAACATAGAAAATAATCTTCTTTATTATGATGTACCCACAAGATCCACACATGAGTCAGTCTTTTCATATATTTAACCCGTGAAATCATCCTCAAAATCATTAGAAAGTTAACCGCTCAAAAGATCAATGCAGCTTAAGCGCATAATCAATTTTGATATATTTAGAAATACTCCACTAATTGCCCAGTTAGAAAATTGACCGCAAGGCACATATTTTATAAATATATCTTTAATTAACTTTTAAAAAATCTTGACCATTTTAGAATAAGCAGCTCTTGATACCTGGCATAAAAATACAATTGGATAGGACACTTTCAAATTCAAGAAATTTGAAGTGGGCTGAGTCTAAAATACCTTTCACTATCTAATATAGGAAATTTGTTTTCCTAATGGCTGTGGCTTTTGAAGAAATTAACTAATCTTCTGTGTTTTTTCAACAAATAAAATTGAATATTTAAAGCTGTTACTGGGGGATTGGGATCCTCTCCTAAGGAACAGTGGTTCCTAACATTTCCTAATGGATCTCAACCATTGATTACATAGGACCACCTTGTTTTTTGTGCCCATACACAAAATCAATGGTTGAGATCCATTAGGAAATGTTAGGAACCACTGTTCCTTAGGAGAGGATCGCAATCCGTTACTGGGCGACCCAGTAGGTCACATGACAAAGCTGTGTCATTCCCTCACAGAGGATCTGAGTTCATGTTTCAACTGTTCAAAGAGCTCACAGAACAGTATTTTCTATTGTGAAAAGAATAAAAAGCTCAAACTCGAGCTGGGAAAACACCATAATAATAATATAATACAAAAAACGCCAGTATGATAAACAAAACAATTTTCCTTGAAATTAATAAACCAGCAATATAAACATATCATGAAAACATATCTTTTAATCTTTCCCTCAAAATCTGTAGTCTTCTTCTAACTATATAGTCATAAACTTTATATAGCACGTATTCAGTCCCATCAATTGTTTTGTGGCTCATATCAGGCTATCAGCTCCTGTGTCGGTAAAGAACATAGATAACCGAAAATTCCAATATAATTCATAGAGGACTGCTCATCTGAATGGCGAGATTTGTAAAATTATAGCGACACGAGCACTTATCCGCCAAAAAAGCCAAGTCGCTGACAGATGAAGGCTAGGATCAACACAACGATTGCGAGGATTAATCCAGGTTTTCCCAGCAACCAATTGTTTCAACCTATATGTAGCACGGACACGGATCGAACACGGCCATCCGACACGCCGACACGAGGCAAATCCTAAAAAATACATAGGATACGTGTGTTCGACACGTGTGTCCGACATAAACACGGCACGACACGGCTTCATGTCATGCGTGTCCGTGCTTCATAGGTTTCAACACCTCGCTGTGCTCTTTCTGCCCACCGCATCTGATAAAAGGAGAAAACAACTTTAGTAGACAGAGGAAGTATCAAGTACGATCTTAGCATATCAACAATCTGTCATATTAATGCGTACGTGTGCCACAGGAAAAATAAATAATTAAGGCCACATTACTAATCTATATTCTATTCTATCAAATAACTTAAAACTTGCAAGCGTAATCAAGAAACAGAACTGCACACAATTTTAAAAGTGGGGCAGGTGGACGATCATTTTATTTTTACATATTCCAGCATCAAATATTCATATCACTTCCACATTTGAGCCTCATCTGCATTTTTTCGTGAGATTGACACGTTTACAAGGAGACACGCTATGATTCTTCTACACTTTTTTTCTGCCGATTACTTTGCCGTCAGGCTTTATGTTGAGCCTGTTTTATCAGTTTCCATTAATCCGAACCTTGGTAGACTACATGTATATGCTTGGCATTTCTTAGCCGCTATAAAAGCACCAATTCTGTGCATAATACTACAGAAGGCCCAGGCTTTGAGGAACACAGATTGTAGATGTCAAAAGAAAAAATTAGTTAATTTGACAATTATGGGGGAAAGTACCAGAAAATTATACAGCTAAATCTAAGAAAAACAAAGAAAAAAAATCTAAAAAATATGGTCTACCGAAGGCTTGCATACCATTTTATCCAGTTCTTCTGGTGATAACGATGACATCGTCTGGCGAGCCTTTGCTGCATCCTCTTTTGAGAGCTTCATCCCATACTGATCACTCATATTCACCATCATTTCTGGGCTGATGCTTTTCATCATAGATGTAAACATCTGCCAATTTGATATCACTCATATTCACCATCATTTCTGGGCTGATGCTTTTCATCATAGATGTAAACATCTGCCAATTTGATCAAATCAAGGGAATAACATATCTAGGGGCTGATGCTTTTCATCATAGATGTAAACATCTGCCAATTTGATCAAATCAAGGGAATAACATATCTAGCATAGAACAGGAAAAACCAAAGGAGTTTAAACTTTGTTGAAACTTTCTAAGCAAACTTCCAACCTGTCGCATCACTGGGTCTTTCATTGAATTTCTCAAAGTTTCCTGCAAATCAGCAGATGAACCTGGATGGCTAGATGACGCCTGAGCATTTCTTGGATTGGAAAACAATGTATCAGAACTACTTTCTCTTGCATCAAGGTGGTCCATAGTATGACTTCCCTCAGCAGTTGATGCTTGATATCCACTTTCAGATCTCTGGGTGGTATTTTCTGATGTGGGGTTTGAAGGAAAACCATTAAGATTCATTGAAGACGCAATTTCAGACTTCTTTTGAACCTCTTCAAGGGACATATTGCTCATCCTGTCAGAAGCCATCTTAACCATTTCAGGTGTCATTTCTGGAATTTGTGAACTTAACCTACTCTCTGATCTCTGAATGCTGCCATCAGATGCAGCATTTGTGCTGCTCACATTCATCGAATAGGCAATTTCAAGCATCTTCTAAAGCTCGTCAGGAGGCATCTTGCTCATATTATCAGATGCCATCTTAATCGTTGCTCGCGCCATCTCTGGCATTTGTGAACCGAACTTTGATCCATCTCCATTAGTGTTTGGAAAGTTTGGGGCTTTTCCTTTCAAAGAAGAAGCAACTTCCAGCATTTTCTGAAGCTCTTCAGGCTTCATCTTGCCAATCATACCCGAGGCTGTTTTAATCATATCAGGTGGCAATTCTCCAACACCCATAGCTGATAGCTCATCAGGATTGGCATTTGAAATATAATTTTGGAATGACCTGACACAAGTTAATTCATAAACAGATAAAATTAGTAAGAATATAGAGCCAGGTAAAAAAGGATAAACTATGCCCTGTATACATACTGATTAGTAGTTATAGACAATGATCTGAAAACAACAGGAAACAAGCCTGTGGCACTAATTAACGTATTTTTTGTAATCCCAACCATAATTGCTGCTCTTCATAGTATAAGATAAATGAAATATGATAAGTAAGATTTTTTTTTTTTTTTTGAATCATATGGTTCGTTTGGATGAACTCCATTTATACTTTGGCTTTGAGAACCATATAAGGAAGCAAGCCTGCATGGAAAAATAAAAAACTAAACAAGTATCGAGTATACCTGATGGCTTCAGGACTGTCTCTTAAGCTCTTTAAGTACTCAACATCAGCAGCAGAAGCTCCATTGTTTGACCTGCCATTTTCAGAGAGTTCACTGGCCTCAGCCGGCTCAGACAAAGACCATTCTGAAGGTGAGATTTTTTCACTCTCTGGTTGTACTGGATCGGTCTCTTCTTCATCTATTTCTTCGATAATTAAACGTGAATAATCCAGGTGTATCAAAAGAGACATAAGTGATACTTTACAATCCAACTAAAGAAAATTTTCATCACTCAATCAGAAAGGGACAAGAAAAACTACATACCTCTCGACGCATTCTTGTCTCTAGCTTCCATCAATTTTTTATTGGCATCTCTGCATCATTACACAAGAATCACACATACTGATATCACAAAAATAGTGCATTTATAGTACATAAAAGTATCCCACCCACAAAAGGGATTCCATACCTGACAACTTCTGCTATAGTCTCATCTTCTGGAGAAAATTTATGTGCCTTTCTCAAATCGGAAACAGCAGCCTGATCAAGCGGTGAGTGAATAATACTATCATTAGTGGATATGATGCTTTAAAATGGAGACAAGATGGTGGACAGTGGACACAATAATTGTTTAAAATCAAGACACGAGAGTGAAACTATGTTGCATATATCAGATTCCATATACTTTTTGAAGTAAATTGCACTATACAAATTTTCAAGTAATGGATATGAATAGACATATTTATAATCATGTTTCGGTGTGCCATACATGCCGATTTTTTGTTTCGAAAGTTTATATATCGTAAAAATCAAATGACGCTAGATGATTTAGAGAAAACCTAAACTAGGATTTCCTCTTTAAAAAAATAATTGGAGTTTTCTCACTAGAATGTGGTCAGCTTCTGAAGCAAAACCTAAACTAGAATTCATGAAAAGGCCCCACAATTCTTCACCCACTAATGGTAGGCAACTTCCAGGCCACAAAAACTCTGGGCAAGAGGGTAATTGTTATAAATAGACATCTACTGAAATAAAATAGCTTTCTCATATCATAGATTCTACAGGAAGATTTCTTCAAAAAGTTCCAAATAAGCCATTAGTAAGCAATAAAAGCTTACCTCCAAATTCCCAAGTTCTTTATATGCTTGACCTCTGCGATAAAGAGCTTTAACATTATTTGCATCATATACCAGAACCTGGAATAAACAATAATACCACTTAGAAAAGGTGAAAGTATAAATCATGCTCTAACAAGAGAAACTACATATTTAAGCTCTTGCATGTTTAAACCAAAATTATAGTAGAGTAATTTGTTTGACAAAATCCTAAAACTGGAATTGTGTAGTGCTATAGGACGTATTATGCTTATAAAGCCTTGTAGACATACTTTATTCACAATTTCAAGAGCCTTGATGGGTCTACTTGATTCACAATTACAAGAGAGAGGGAGAGAGAAGGGCAGTAATTTAAGACAATGTACCTCTGAACCTTCCTTGATGCACTCTTCGAGTTGCCCAGTTTTCAGGTAACATGACATTAGATTAAGAGAACACTGCAACTGAAGAGTTCCCATCTCGGCTGACAGGATGCCTTTCAAGTTGTTTTTTGCCTGATTATGCAAAATGATCAGATTAATAAATGAATAAATGACATATCAAATAATATTGAGAATAAGCAAGCGCTAAAGAGTACATTGGCAAAAGTATACAAATACAAGAAGAAATTTAATATAAACATACAAGAAGATATTTATTAGCAGCCTCACGATATATAATCCACGGCCATGGAGCTTGTTCCCCTGAAAACAAGAATAAGAAAAGAATATAATCAAAATAGATGATGATAATATCAAAAGCATGGAGAGGTAATTAAATAGATGATGATAATATACGAACACGAGAAGCACAACCTCACTTACGAGAAAGGCTTTGGTACACAAGGCAATCGCCATTAAAACATAAAAATGAACAGAATG